ACCTGGACGAAATTAATCCTATTCCCTGTAGTCATTTCACGGCTGAATTTCTTGTAAACCCTGAGTAAAAATGTCTAGTAGTGAATTGGAGGAATTACGAGACCCTTTAGTCCTTACTTCTCGCAGGCAGTGGTTGTGCCATATGAGGTTACGAGGCCGGAGTCTACGAAGGACTTGTCCTTACTAAACTTGAGCTCGCAGCAGGTGGCTGTATCGAGTTCGTGTGCCATCCAAACACGGAAGATTCCGCTCAGATTCGGGCCGCTTCATAATATAAGTGTTCATCCTCTGTTACAGCAGTCAAAAACTGGCCTCGTATGTGCCACGTGCAGCGATGGCCCACTTCAACTTCATTCTTCCTAAACCTGAAGTCGCTGAGTGTGGCTGTGCCGAAATCGACTGCCAACCCCATTTGGATCATCTCACTGGTTATTCGGCAACGTTGTGTGAATCTTTCCGGCCTCGTACTTGCCACGCTTGCGGTGGCCTGATTCCTTCATGGGCCACCGCGGCAAGTACGAGGCCTGGAACGGACCATATCCATCACCTGGCCATCAATACCGGGCCGGGGATGCCGGAGACTTTTGATCCCGACGCCCGATTGGTAATAAAGGTCTTGACAAACACGACCACATCGGTGGCCGACCGAGGCGATTCCTGCCTCGAGTCCCTTTTAGGCATTCGGTCCGGAACAAAACGGGATGCGTACTTATTACCGGTCACATCGGGTTGTGGCCTCGTATCTCACTACGGGCAAGAGCGACTTTCCACGATGAGGAAATCGTGAGGAAAATTTGAGGAAATTGTGATTGACCATTAGGAATGGTCAATCACAATTTCCTCAAATTTTCCTCACGATTTCCTCATTGCAGAAAGTCGTTCTTGCCCGTAGTGTCTGCCACGCGAAGTGATCCAGACTTGTCTGAAATAAAAGTATTTCGACTTTGATTGCAAATACATAGAGAATGATTATGATACACAGAAAATCATTCATTCACATAACTAGTGAACCATCTGATCACGAATCCTTGAACAATTTCATACGACATTCCAAAATGAAATCAACCACCAACGTTCCTTCATCAATCATCATAAGAAAAATCCTGAGGTAGTTCATCCTTAGAGTCCGGCTCAACAACGTCGACGGCAGTGGGAGGTTCGAGATGCGACTTTGCAGCTGCTATAATCTTATCCCACGTTTCGGCGCTCACACGATCCTTTCCATCTGGTTTCTTCCCGAAAAGCCTGTCTATCCGCGAGGCAGACTGTTGAGCTCTTTCGTCCGATGAAAATGTGTCTGTGGGGGGGTTTCCGTGAGTTTGAATAGCATAGTGCTTGAAGGCTCGTTCGATCTGCGGTTTTCGGTACGCAGCGCGACCATATGTCAATTAACGATCGGAAACTAGGATACTTACTTCAACTCACAGCCAAAATGGATAGGACCAAGGCCGCCTTTGGTGGATTTTTCGAACGGTTCTGTTCAGGAATGTCTCGAATAGCTTTGAAATGGGTGGAAAGTGTCTGAGCAACAATTTGGGACTGAAAAGATCCCTAGCAAAGTGCATCCAGTTAAAAAAAAAAGCAATGACGGAAATATTGGTAAATGAGTTATTCAATTGTTACAAACCAAGAAATATTCACATACCGTGGGTTTACCGTTGAACACGCTTGAAAAGTAATATACACGATCCCAGTAATTGCCCTTAGTCTGCTCTTGAATAAACCGTGCTTGCTCTTCTTGAGTTTTGTCCTCTAAGATGCTGTCAAGTACGACGATAGCTGCATCGCCGATGGAGTTCCTCCACTCGGTAAGACGTTCAGCAGCCTATGAGGATGATATGTTACTAGAACCGTTAATTCAACAATGAAATTGTGTACCGTACCAATTTTCTGATACCCTTTCCAAACTGGGAATATTGTCCCTGCATATCCTTCGGCATACTTTTGATCCACAAATCTTGCAATTCTTTGGAGTTGGGATCTTTCCAAGCGTCGGCACAACCCGTGAACTCGATCAAAACTGGCTCAAAGTGTTCGAAGAAAGCGGCCCTTGTAGGTTCAGGCAAGTCCTCTTCTTGTCCTCCATTGTTAGTCTGTAATCAAGATATTAAACAAGTAGATGAGCAGAATTCATAAATTAACCTAGACCACTTGGTAGTACTTTCAGGAGACATACCTCATTGTAAGTTCCATAATTTTCAGTTTTGCGGCCATAAACGTTGGAATTATCGTTTTCCGTGTATTTGCTAATGCTGGCATTGTAATTACGGGTTGTATTTTGGATGTTCCCCTCCTGCTTATGATGGTGTTGGTCCCTTCCGACGTTGTTCAACGACAAGTTGTCGAATACATTGTTAGAAGCATTGTTGAAGAATTGATTTCCACCGGTACCGTCGCTAGACATATCAAGAAGAGGGATGACAAGAGGAAGGGAAGTTTAGTTGGCTGTTGGGTATCGGACGTCAGTCTATTTAAGACAATCCGACCTGGGCGTCTGATGGGCGCCTAAGCGACATTCCTGAGGCCGGAGTTTACAAAGGACTCGTCCTTACTTGAGCAGCAGGTGGCTGCGTCAAAATTTTGTGCCATCCCCATTTGGAGCTCAAACACGGGCCGCTTCATTCTCTACAGCAGTCAAAAACCCGGCCTCGTATCTGTCACGCACAGCGATGGCTTCATTGAGGTTGAAAGCTGTAGACAAGAACTGATCAAATGTGGAACATTGATGCACAATTGTTGAAAGTAGAACAAGGTCAGGTCAGAATTCATGATCTGAATTTGGTATCAGTTTTATTAACAACTATGCCATTATTTTATTTGTACAAAGTATCTATAGCTCCCTACATTCACTATTGTTCTTCTCGTTATTGGACATAGCTACCTTGTCAACATGCTATAAACATAGTTGCTGTAACACTAGTATGTAGCATGAAAGTAGCTGTGACACTGCCGGGACCCCCAAATCTTTCCCTCAAAAGATTTATGCCCTAAAGAGATGGCAAAGATTCGCTGGAAGGTAGGTCTTCATCTTTTCCTGTCCCGTTTTTTTTTTTTTCAGAAAAGATTAGTGGACCCAGCTGTGTGAGGAAGGGTCGCCCGACCTTGCAAACCGGAGTTTGGGTAATCTATCCGACTTCCAGGTGACCTGTCCAACACTGACTACACAATCAGATGATGTACACCCAGCCGCGATACCATCGCGTGAAAGACGATCAAAGATAACTCATTCATTGCTTTAGGTCATTTATCAACATTCATCATTTTCTGCAAATCTTCTCGCTGGGAGTCGCCAATTCAATGTTGCCATACCAGGAGTTATCATGAACCTAAAATTACTGGAGTGATCATCCAGTCCACAGCTCGCTAACCCAATCTATCCATTACTGGCGCGCTGGGCACCAGATTGATATTCGTATTGGCGCTTAGTTTTGGAGCGGCATTAAGGGACTGGCAGATTTAAACGCCCAAGTCGGATTGACTTAAATTCACTGGCATTCGATGCCCAAAAGCCAAACCACCCAAGCTTCTCTCCTCATTGTCGACCCTCTTACTCGAATATGAGCCAAAATTCGACCAATACTTTTCATGGCAACATTAACAAATACACGGGAACCGATAATTCCATCGTTCATGGCCGCAAAACCGAAAATTTTGGAACTTACAATGAGGTATGTCTCCTGAAAGTATTACTGCACAAGTGGACCAGGATAATTCATAAATTCCGCTCATCGACTTGTTTAATATTTTGATTACAGACTAACAATGGAGGAGAAGAGAGTCTGCCCGAAAACACCAGAATCGCTTTTCTTGAACATTTCAAACCGGTACTGATCGAACTCGCCGGTTGTGCCGACGCTTGGAAAGATCCTGACTCGAAAGAATTGCAAGATCTGTGGGCCAAAGTTATGCCAGATGATATGAAGGGTCAATATTCCCAATGTGGAAAGGGTATCAGGAACTTGGTATGCTACAATTTTATTGTTGGATTAACATAATATTTATATATTATACCTCATAGGCCGTTGAAAGTCTTGCGGAGTGGCGGGACCTCTTTGGTGACGCAGCTAAAGACGCACTTGACGATATCTTAGAGGACAAAAAAGAAGAAGACCGAGGAAAGTTTATTCAAGAGCAAACCAAGGGCAATCACTGGGATCGTGTCTATTACTTCTCAAGCGTGTCTGACGGTAAACCCACGGTATGTGAATATTTCTTGGTTTGAATAACTCATTACCAATATTTTTTTTTTCACTGGATGCATTTTGTAGGGTTCTTTTCAGTCCCAAATTGTTGCCCGGACATTTTCCGCCCATTTCAAAGCTATCCAAGAGCTTCCTGAGGAGAAGCGTTCCAAAAACCCACCAAAGGCGGCCCTGGTTCTATCCATTTTGGCTGTGAGTTGAAGTATCCTAGTTTCCTATTGTTGATTGTTATCATTGACATATATGGCCGCGCCTCGTATCAAAAATCGTAGATCGAACGAGCCTTCAAGCACTATGAGGCTCAAACACAGGGAAACCCTCCCACAGGCAAATTTTCATCGGACGAAGGCGCTAAACAGTCTGCCCCGCGGATACACAGGCTTTTCGAGAAGAAAAAAGATGGAAAGGATCGTGTGAGCGCCGAAATGTGGGGCAAGATCATAGCAGTTGCAAAGTCGCGTCTCGAACCACCCACTGCGGCCATCGACGTTGTTGACCCAGACTCTCAGGATGAATCGGAACCACCTGAGGATCTTGATTATCAACAGTGAAGGAACGTTGATGGCTGATATTTCACTTTGCAATGGAACATAATAATTTTGCCTGTATCTATCTCTCTCGCTGATAATTCCGTTCGGTCTGCAACGAGACACACGTGTTATAAGTATGCATGTATCTATGGTATGATGTTATCAATGAGCTTACATGAACACGTCCATCTGTTCATGCGTTCATAGTATGTAGTGATCTATACAAATAGTAAGAGCAAAAGCAAAAAGACAGTTTGAAAGCATCGGATTCCATCGCGGGGAATCGAACCCCGGGCTGCTGTGTTTATTATAGGTAGTTATTGATGAAAGACAGCAATGTTAGCCACTACACCACGATGGAGAATGTCAGGAGAAAGTGGTACAATAATACAAGCCTATAACGTAGTCCCGGAATAACATGAATCCGTCCGAGTGTTGATCGAAGGAAAAAGGAAAAATGACGTTGACAGGTGGCTATGCAGAATTTAGAACCGGGGCCCGTGTGGGATGGCCAGAGCCAAGCGACTCGAAGCGAGTCTCGTTCTTTGTAAGTCTGGACGGTTACCTGATGCGTATAAAAAGCTGGGCAGGTTGTCGAGAACAACGGATTACTCTGACCGCGTCACTCGTTTCTTTATATAACCTCCGTCTCCGCTGCTTATTATAAAGCCCTTCCCGTTCTTTCATTTCTACCTCCTCCTCCCCCCTTCCTTCCTTCCAATGTGGTCCACACTCGTTTTGACCACATTCCTCACCTCTACCGTTGTTTCTGTTTCCGCTTCTCCCTCCGAGTCCTCTTCACGTTTCAAACCTCGCAATAACAACAACGGTCCAAATTACCTCACTTCCTCTTCCTCCCTCAAATCCTCTTACGACTTCATCATTGTCGGCGGTGGTCTCGCAGGTCTCACCATCGCCTCACGTCTCTCCGAAAACTCTTCTACCTCCGTTCTCGTCCTCGAAGCCGGTCAAACCGGTGACGCTGTCGCCTCTCAAATAAACGAACCCGCAAACACCTATTACGACTCCCTCTTAGGTTCCGAATATGACTGGGCATATAAAACGTCTTCGCAATCTGGTATGAACGGGAGACAATTGGATTGGCCGAGAGGTAAAGTGTTGGGAGGGTCTTCGGCTGTGAATGGGATGTATCTCGTTAGACCGAGTAAAGTGGAGATTGACGCTTGGGCTCAGATGGCTTCTTCTGGAGATGACTCTGGTTCATCTTCACCCTGGGCATGGGACTCTTTCTATGCCGCGATGAAGAAAGCAGAGACGTTCGATGCACCTTCGGATGACATTAAGAATACTGCAGGGATAGAATTTAATGCAGATAGTTACGGAACAGATGGGCCTATTCATTGGGGCTACCCTGGCTTGTGAGTACTTTTTTTCTACTCCTTCTCCTCGTCTTAACCCCGCCCCTCTCCCTCCTTCCTTCCTTCTCCCTCCTTCTCTCCTTCTCTCTCCCTCTCTCCCTCCGCCAACCCTGACAGCACATTCCCTATCCTCTCCAACTGGTCTCCCGCACTTTCCTCCCTCGGTGTCCCAGCAAACCCCGACCCAGTATCAGGTAACAACACCGGTTCATTCATCGCCAACTCAGCCATTCGTAAATCCGATTGGACACGTTCCTACTCCCGTTCAGGCTACATCGACTCTATCTCCACCCCCCGGTCCAATCTAGACATACTCACAGGTGCAACGGTGACTGGTATCGTTTGGGATGGTTCCTCGAGTTCGAGCTCGACGTTTTCGGCTTCTTCATCGGATTTGAAAGCGACTGGAGTTCAATACGCTTTATCTTCTACTTCACCGAAACAAACCATCAACGTGAATAAAGAAGTCATATTATCAGCGGGGACAATCGGTTCAGCTCAGATTTTGATGGTTTCTGGTGTTGGGCCTGAATCCGTTTTACAAGATGCAGGTGTGGATGTGAAAGTGGATTTACCGGGCGTTGGTCAAAGGTTACAGGATCATTTGGTATGTTCTTCCTCTTCCTCTCCCTCTCTTTCTTCCCTCTTCCTGTTTTCTTATCTTTTGACCATGAATATCGCATTACTAGGTAACCTCCCTAGCCTACTCCACAACCTCCTCCGTCACAACCGCAGGCTCCATCCACACCTCCCAATCCACCCAATCCCAATCTCCCGAATCCATGTCCTTCATCAACTCCGCAACAGCCTACCTCCCTCTCTCTTCCCTCTTCCAGTCCGGATCCTCTCTCCAATCCGTCATCTCCTCCGCTCAATCATCCATGCAATCCCAACTTCAAGCTTACAAAACCTCGGGATACAAGGGTACTGGTTCCGGAGATCAAGTGGACGATACTGTAGTGAAAGGTTATCAATCCATCTACACGACTATCACTGATACCTTATACTCCTCTCCTTCCTCCGGCCAAATCGAGCTTCTGATCGCTCTAACCCAACCAAACACCATCGTCCTCCAAGCAGCTATCCAACACCCTTTATCCATGGGTCGAATGTACATAACCTCGAACGACGTGTTCGTCTCTCCCGTCCTAGACCCATCGTATCTGCAAAACAACGTGGATCTACAGATCCTGCGACAGGGAGTGAAAATGCTAGACGAACTAGCTACTTCGTCCTCTTCCTCGCTATCGCAGTTCATCTCTGGTCGGACTAACCCTCCGGCTAAAGAAACTACTTCAGATGACGATTGGGACTCGTTCATACTCTCATCATCGTCAACTGAATTCCACCCATCTTCTTCGTGTGCTTCTTTACCTCTTTCTTTGGGAGGTGTAGTCGATCCGGGGAGTTTACGCGTTTATGGAAGCGCGAATGTGAGGGTTATGAACGCGAGTGTGTTTCCGATGGAGATGAGCACGCATTTGGGTGCGCCTACTTATGGGGTTGGGGAAATTGGGGTTGGGTTGGTTAGGGCGGAGTATGAAGGGAATAAGAGTGGGAGTGGTGTGAATGCGACGGATAATAGTAGTAACAGCGGAAGTGGGAGTGGAAACGGGAGTGCTGGAGGGGATTCGAGTGGTGCAAGGGGAATGAAAGTCGACTTGATGATGGTGGTGGGGTTGGGTTTGTTGGCCTTCGTTTTCATTTAAGAGCGAATATAAAGGGGAGGGGAAGTAGGCGTGAATGTGAGTCGAGATATATATGTGATGGATAGATGGATGAGGGTTGGTAAGCTCTCATGAACACATCCAAAACTCGGACTCGAACTCGGACTTCTTGAACTTAGTATCTTTAAATTCCACGTTTCAGGTGTGGGTGTATGCGCATGTGTGTTGTGGGATTGAGTAGATGTATGTGGATTTTGGTTGTTCGGAGTTTTAAGATATATATAGTACGTAGATTTAGTTGTCTAGTTAGACTTAGTTTTACAGGCACTTGTTTTTACTCATTCTCTGGGTTTTCTACATAATGCTGTTTGTGTTCACTCGGTTGTATGTACGTAGCTATAGGTATAACATACATACGTGCATAGAACGTGATTGTTTCGACGCTTAGAGTAGGTTTTTTTTTTTGGATCTTGCTGCTGTTTGCCCATGACTTGGTACATATGTAGATAAGTTACTTCCGTTCAAGTAGTCTTACTCTTAGTAACATACACACGAACCTACATGCATATTTAGTACTCCCTGAGTCCCTAGTACACCGTCCGGTGCTGAAATCTATTACTGGAGATTGATGAAATGTATGTAAGTAGTAAATATGAACTACTTCAGGATACTTTGAGTGAGAAATATGCATACGATATAATACTTATTTAGAGCGTACTACATGCGTATCTATTCAACGGAATTCCTCTTTGCTCCTCTCGAAAAATCAAACCTAAGTAGACCGCATCATGGATCGCCGCGTTATCATATGTTTTGAGTAATACAAGTACAAGAAGTATACTTCTCTTAACTCTCACCTTATTGCATTTCTTGCCTCGAGAATGGAACAAACTCCAGCGAGCTATTACTGTTCCAGGTATTCCATAGTGTGAATAAAGTGGTTAAATAAAGCGCGCAGGCTTCGAAGAAGTTCAATTACTTTCATTCTTCTTCAGATCCTCTTCCATGTACTTGTAGTAATAGGGATTGCATGTCACGGATTTCTACATATTACTGCCCGTTATTCATACTTTCCGACTTGTTCTTCGCTTGGAATATCGTGACTCCTACGCTTTGTTAATGAGGTGCGTAAAACGTCCAAAACATCAGTTCGACTTGACACTTTGATGTAATCAACCATCGCTCAATCATTCTCAAGTAGATATACACGCTATGAACCCATGATAAATTTTCAATGTTCTTAAATTAAAATGTTAAGTGGCAAACGGCGACCTGTACTTTCGAGACCTAATTCCAGATAGTTCAACAAAGTTCTAGTTGAATCAAATAGAACCGAAGAGAAGCCCAAGGACAGTGGTGCCTTTCCAAACACAAAACGCCATAATCTTTCATTTGTGGGGAGAGCAGTCAGTATGGAAGTCTGCGGCGTGCTTTGAATTAGGGGTCAGAACTTCAAGGAGGGTGATTTTCGATGACCGATATCCACGCAATATGTAAGGAGAAGTTATGATAGACCTCATTAGGTCCGAATTCGTGCCTTTGTCTAATTATATACCAACCTTACTCTTTATCGAGGTCTGCGGTAATGAGTCTAGTTAAGACCTATGCTGTCCCAAATGCTGCAAAAATCAATTCCCCCGTATTCTAATGCTATCCCCCGTATCAAGAATGACCTCCCCCGTATTGAAATGATCTCCCCCGTATTGAATGACCTCCCCCGTATTAAAACCATTAATAATATGATAGCTTATCATCGGCAAAATATCGGCAAACTATCTGCATTGCAAATTGAATAGAGTGGACTTTAATTTTCAAACTCCACATTAATCTTCTCATAAGCTAAACAGAGGCCGACTCGCGCAGGTGGCTGTGTTGTTTTCGTTCCGGTGTTTTCTAAGAAAAATTTGACCCACGCTGCAGCGAAAACCCAAAGTTTAAAGTTCATATTACCTTTGATAATTGGGAAACGGGGCCGTCTCATCTGGGATATTTGGGAAAGTCTTCCACGCCACTTCAACTGGTTCGATTTCATTAACCTCTATTTGGGTTCATTGTTGCCGACATTCTTCTGCTCAACCGAGTGTGCTACATCCAAAGAATTGACTTTTACTGACTCTTATGGGTCAGCATATCTTTGTGAGTTTTTTATGTTGCATATGTCAGACTGAGTGCATAGAAAATCTCAAATACAACTGAATTTATGGAGCAAGTCACCATAGGGCTCATCCGCAACATTTTCTTTAGCTTAGAAATGACCTGTTTTTTTTTAAGAAAGAATAGTAGAAAGTAGCTGTTCATCCGGTCAACACGCTGCA